GGCAATTCAAGGCACCTGACGCATTGAGTCACTCTGTTCAGAGATGTCACTCTGTGTCACTCAGAAATGTCACATGCCTTTGTCACTCTGTTCAGAGTTTTTTTTTCTAGACCTATACATGAGTATATATAGTACTATAGACTGCCTATGGTCTACAGAGCTACAGATTTCAGTGAAGAAGAAAAGTCAGGAAAACAATCAGCGAATCACACCTCATACCAAGAAAGTAATTTTATATGTTATAGCTTTCCTCACATAACAAATACTTCTCTGCCCACCATTTTATGTCTAAGAGCCAAGGATTTTTTTTTGTCACAGAAGTCTTTGTGTGGGAGCAGGCATGCTGGTTCATAATATTGCACACCACATGGGTTTCCAGGAAACAAATGAGTTGCATTAACCAAAGGGTTTTTATGGATCATTTTAATCACAACCTGTGGCTCCCATGGCTTGTTTTGTTTTCCTAGTAAAAATGTATTGTATGCAACCCACATCTTCCCACCCAAAGTCTGTGTTTAGTCTGAAAAAAGTTAATGACAAGGAATAAATAAGGGGACCTCTATTGATCTCTCCCTCTTAATAGTAAAAAAATATTACCAACTCTGTACCTTTTTACATATACACATACAAGTTCATTTACTGTGTGTTTCTAACCATCTAGAACGTCATGCTCTCCAGGGTTACTGGTCATTTCTTTTATATTTTTGGCAAAAGAAAACGTCGGGTATCTTCTCAAATTCACAAAAGGAAAAAGTATTGTTTTCAAAATACTTTTGGGTAGCATCTCAGAATTTTAGGGGTGTTTCTAGAGAATTACATCCCATATAATACTCACAAAGTATATTCTTTTCTAAGAAAAATACATAAATTGTATTACCATGCATTATGTTTTCCATATTACATTTTCACAATCTATACTCAAAGCTATGTTTCAAATCTCTTTGGGCTTGTATTTGTTATTTTATCCATAGTCCAGAGGCAATATGGATCAGGGTTTGCTCTTATTTATCTCATCCAGACAGGCCCTATATCCCAGGATCTGATCCCAGGTTTTCTGCTTTAAACTGGGTTATATGAGTCCACACTGCCAGATAATCTTGGATAAACAAAAACAAAAAAAAACCTGGAATCAGATCCTGGGATATAAGGGCTGTCTGGAAGGGGCCTCAGCCTCATTCATTGAGTTTACTTGAGATTACAAAGTCTATGGCAATGCTTTTGTTTCCCTACAAACCGATTTGCAAAAGAAGCAAAAAGAGAAGACATGAATTGACATTAAAATGATGCAAACAATAGAGAACACGCTCATTCAAGGAACGTCTATCTGTTCATTTGGGTTTTCTTCTACAAGGAACAAATAATACCAATTTCACCAGTAATTCCCATGACATAAAAGTGACTGCTTCCAGGAAAGAATTCAATGAATTACTCATTGAGATAAGAGAATCCTGTAAATCTAAAGAAATAGACACCACAAGCCCAGGTCAAAAGCTATTGCAAACTGCCATTCACTTAGAGAAAATGAAACTAAAATCAGAAGCTCTTGTTATCCAGCTGTTTGCTATTTTAGTAACAAAAATAAGCATTCACAATTTGACTATAATAGAAAAATCCCATTTTTCACTTCCTCCAGCTTTGAAATATATATACTATGCCCACGGATGCATGGCTAAAGCAAGAATGAATGAAGGTGTGCTTAGCTGAGAATAAGGGCCCTTCCACACAGACCTATATCCCAGAAAAAATCCCACATTATCTGCTTTGAAATGGGTTATCTTAGTCCACACTCAGATAATGTGGGATTTTCTGCCTTGGTAGTCTGGAATATAGGGCTGTGTGGAAAGACCCTTAGATGTGAATCCCACTGAAGAGCAAAAGGAGGCATGTTTTTTTTTCAGTAGTGCTGTCCTGTTTTTTTAAACCCTTCCATATTAAGTACTGAAGGTGGAATTTGCCTACTTTGGGCTGCAAACCTATCAGTAGGAATAAGTCCACAAAACGTGACAAGCATCGGAACGCTCTGTATAATAACTAAGATACTTTGGCTATAATTTAAGAAAAAGAGAATTTGAGGCTTTCAGAATTAGAGTTGATGTCCCTTTGCTTAAAATACCTTTATTCTGAGCAGTAGTAAAAGTAATTGAAATCTTAATTTCAGGAGGGTTTCCCCCCCTGTTTAACTGCACACATGGTTTTATAGCTGCCTCTTAGGCATGTAAGGTTTTATTAGCAAATCAAGGGAGCATTATCAAAACGTATTCTACCAGAATCATTATTACGACTCAAGCAGCCTCCTGTATCCCTAAAGAATATTTTCCCCTTTTAATCTCCGTGTCCCAAAAGAATAATTTTATTACCTTGAGCTCAAAGTAAATAGCATTTCTAGGACTTAACACTTCACATGTGTTATTTTTAGGATATGAATTTTTAAGCAGTTGCAATGGGCAAGTGGCATGATTTATGCAAATTCTTTATCACCTCGGAGGGGATTAATATATTATAATTTGATAATAGTCCCCCACTTTAACACATCCAAGTCCAGCTCCAAAAAGAGCAATTTAATTGCCTCTGACTGAAAGTTCAGATCTTAAACAGCTTCAGCTATGTTTGTCATCAAACAATTATTTCAGAGTAAGAATCAGAGGTCTCAGGACTGTATATTTTACATTTCTATTTGTTAATACAGATTGCCTTGGGTTGAAAGATAAATAACAAAAAAGTTTATCTGAAGCTGCAACTCACATCACAAATCTACTCAAAAAATCCCCTCCAATTGTTGTCTGATTTTGTTACATGGCAATTATTTCATAATAGGCCTTATTTCAATTAATCTATTTAACCAGCCAAGAAAAAGCAGGGTGATTAAAAATAAGTGTTGCAAAGTGAGTAATTCTTTAAAATCACAATTACATAAAATATACAGTTACAAAGGAACCTTGAAATTGAGTTTGATGCAGCCACCCAGAGAACAAAATTATACATTTTATAGTTCATATAAACCAAATATAGCTAGGCAGTTTGCATAAAAAACTTGGCATTTCAATAATACATGTATGCCTTATCCCTCTATATAGTATAAAACACGTGCTGTTGATCTTAAATACTGCTGCATTTTAAACATCACTGCACTGTACTTCCGTAACTTTCAAAATAAGACTTAAACAAGGATGTGACATTGGTAGAAGGCAAAAAATGATTGATAAGAAATAACATAATTTACCAAGGCTAAACCTGAATCAGTTTGAATGAGTTCTGCATTTTGTTACCAAATTAAAACTTCTGGGAGGGAAAATAGGCATTTGTTTAAGAGCAAGTTAATTAAATCTTCCCATTTAAACTCAAAGAGACTGACAGTAAGCAGAGTTCACTGTTTCAACTTTTCTACATCAAGGATACCTGCCAAAATGTGGAAATATGAGTAATTTTTTAAATCCTTTTCAAAATCCAGGACTTCAATAAGTGTGAATTTAAATATATACACATACGTGTGTGTGTGTGTGAATATATATATCTTACACACACACACCACCACCACCAACAACAACAACAACAACAGGGGGGGGGAGCAATAGTGAAATAACATTTGGGGAAAAATGTGAGAAATGAAACCTTCAGAAATTCTACTAAAATCAAGCACTGCAATATCTTTAAGCATACTAGATATATGATTTTTTTCCCCCACTGAGGATAGAAATAAGCTTCTGCTACCAAAATGTTATTATACTGCTGGAGTATAAAACATTCTTCTCTAATACTCCCAGTGTTGAAGTATTTTCACCTAAAGAGCACATAACTTGATATTGTCAAAGGAAATTAAAAAGTCACACTTCTGAACACACAATCCAAAGTGTAGCACAACTCTTAACTGATGGTTAAGAAAGTATTCGAGTAGTAATCAACAATCACATCTTGTGCAGCTGATCTACGAAATGTATGACTTTTAAAAACTATTTGCTAAAGAACTTCAAACCAGCATGCGAATGATAATTCCCCAGCAAATATACCTTTAATGGATAAATATAGATCTCAATAAATTATTAGCATCATCCTTAAAATGTTCTTTTCCATTAAATGCTTGACATGCAGCTTATTTTTCCATTATAGGGGGAACCATAATCCTATTTGTCTCTGAATCATTAAATATGTTCAAAACCAGCAGGAAGTCTCCAAAGCTCTCTCCATTCATTATGTTTCGGATGCTAACATTTTCGGCATTAGCATTTTCCAAGTCGGAAGGGAGGGGAGATTGAACCCATTTGTTATCCGTAAAATAGACAAAATAATTATGCATAAAATCTATGGGTGAACTTTGATAAACACAAGGCTATGGAATAACAAAAGGAGAAGCACTGCATCTCACAAAATCTAGAGGATTCTTCTCACAAGAAAAACAATAAGAGTGTCAAAAGGTACATTTGGAATTCAATTAACATTACTATCAGAAATATACACACACAGGCCGAATGTGTCTCACAACATAATGTCATAATTGTATCCTAGTAAAGAAGTACAAGTACAGGCTTATATCTCTGTCTGTCAACTTTGAAATGTACTCTCCCAAACTATTCTTGTTTTCACTTCTTTCACTGCATAACCTTACAGTTTTTAAACTAGACAGTTAGCTCATCCAAGTCGTGTTTCAAGTTGAAAATGAATACTTCACCAACACCCATTTTTAATTATCATCCTTATTATTACTTGTCAAGCATCTTGCCCAAGGCTACGACTTCCTTCACATCAATGAAAGAAGGAAAACAGAAGCCACGAGAGGGGAGGTATAGAAACTGACTTTGTATAAACAGTGTGAGAAACCCCCTTTGACTCCCTACTTGGCCACCTACAGTGCGGCTCCTTTTTTAGCATTTGCACAACTTCACCTTGTTTTATCACCACACATTCCAATTGTGGCCTTACAAGCAGAATTACAGGTCTGACTCCAAGGTTTTCAGACACAGAGCAGGGTTATTATTAAGGTGGGGAGCCAGGGAAGTGAAACATACCTAAATTGACAAAGCTCATGACCATATCTGCATCATTCAGAAAGTTGGTATCATGCAGGCTAGCTAAAGGAGGGCTCCGTGTGGTGAGCTGAGTTGTGCGCGATAAGTGTATCCTCCGAGAGTATCCGTTTGGAGATGCAGGATGTCGCTTCCGAAGCCCTTTGCTCTCTCCGCCCAGTGTGGTTCCCTGCAGTGAATATTCCAGTTCTTCAGTATCTTCTTCATTCGTCATAGCATTGTAGAGGTCCAGCATGAAGAGTGGTGCTGAAGACGCTTGTTTTCCAGGTGAAAAAGGCCTGGGTCTGTGAGGTAAGCCCAATATGGAAAGAATTTCTCTCTGGATCTCTCGTCGTTCATGGTTCCTCAATCTCCGGTAAATAAAACTAGAATGGACATGATTGTCTCCTATGCCTCCCTTCGCAGAACTTATTAAAATCCAATAATTCCAGAGAAGGCTCACCACAACTCTGAGCACAGCTTGGTCCATATTTTGCCTTTAATCAAGGATGCAGTAATTATTTTCTTTCCTTTTTTCCAGAAAAAGAAATTCCTTTCCCCCCCTTGTCTTACTTGTCCTGATCTCTTGTGAAGTCTGGTTGTTTTCCCCGTGGCTGGGGAACTGGGGGGGAAAGATGAACTGTGAATTACCTATTCTTCATGTCCACATTGTCATCTCTGCACACAACATCTTGGTGATCTTATTCCTCCTCTTATTTAAATATCACAGAGATGCGTCAGGCGGCCGCTCGTTCTAAGAAAGCTGAAATTCAGACTTCCAATTTTCCACTGTCATTACAGTTTTTTCTGCATGGATGGAGCAGAAGACCAGAACTTGGTCGGTTGATGTAGGCATTCCTGTACAGCGCATCAAATAACCAGACTGGGTGATGTGGTTGTGGGTGTAAGAGATAATCTTCAATCAGAGTGGCATCCTCAGAGTCATCTTCTCCTGCTGCTGTGGCATCTGATCAAGTAACTAACCAATGCTCCTTGCCCACCTGACCTCCTTTCCTGATTCACAGGTTTCTGTCTTGATCTGCAGCCCGGTGGCGTGGCATCTATTTCCCTCAGCAACCAGCTGAGACCACTAACATCTTGAGCACTCTCCTTAAGGTCCAGCCAATCTGAAGCAAGTGCCAGGCAGTTAAAAGGACTTTTCCTGCACTCACTCAGGGGGGAAAAGGCCCCTTCTGAAAATTCACCTAGCTTCTTCCAAATGCTTAACTGTTATTTCCACCTCTCGCAGGCAAAAACATAGCAGCTCCCTTCAAGAGAGATCTAAAAGCTAATGTAAGCACAACCCTGCTGGGAGAGAAGAGGCTTCCCTCATTGTAATTTGAAACGGGCAAAGTGTATGTGTATGTTGGGAGGGGGGTGGCTTAACCCTTTGGCTGCCTCACAAAGCTAATTTCATCCTTCAGTTTACAGTCCTATCTCTTAACCAGAGGCAGTCCACCCTTCGAAAGAGCTTTGGGATGAAAGGTAACTTATAATCAGTATGGGACACATAAAAATGGTTTCAGAATCCAATGACAGTGCTTATGTTGGATCATATTAGTTTGCATAAAATATTGACCCTAACACAGGTCTACAGTCATTCACTCTCTTTGAGCAATTCTATAAGACCATTTTTTTTAAAATTCACATAATTATTTTGATTTATCTCTTTTCACACAATCAATGAGTTTGCTTTATATGAGACTACCAATATGATTCAAGCCAATGTAAACAACTAAGAGCATTATACAGCCAAAGTGAAGTACTTTAAATTTCAATTGATATAATTAGAGTAGGAGATCAGGGTTGTAATGCTCAATACATGTTTCTTGACTTGAAAAAGCACAATCCAACTATCAGTCGCAATTGTGTTTATGCTTTCTGGCAGTAAATCCCTCTGAAATTACTGAGAATCATTTCTAAATGTGCAGTCAAAACACCTTTGTGTTTATTTAATTCTGCCCTGCCATACTAGGGGTGCAAATATTCCTTTTGATTCAAATTAATTTTAAATAGTAAAATCACAATTATTTACCAGTAATGCATTGTTACATTTTCTGCATATTTGGAATAATAGAATTGTTGAGTTAGAAGAGACCTCATGGGCCATCCAGTCCAACGCCCTGGCAAGAAGCAGGAAAATTGCATTCAAACCTACTTTCAGACTTTTTCTTTATTATATAAGGGCCTACAGCATGTTGTATTTGTAGTAAACATGTGTTTGTAACTTAATCTTACTAAGCTAAATTATTTCCAATACATGTGTGTGGGGGTGGATTCAGAGTGCCTGTCAACTTACAGAAACTCCATAAATTTCACATGGGGTTTTCTTACGTGAGGAATGTTCACCATATCATTTGCTGTATATTTATATTGCTTCCTGCTCCTTAATGTTGTTGTTGTTCATTCATTCAGTCACTTCCGACTCTTCGTGACCTCATGGACCAGCCCACGCCAGAGCTCCCTGTCAGCCGTCACCTCCCCCAGCTCCTTCAAGGTCAAGCCAGTCATTTCAAGGATACCATCCATCCATCCATCTTGCTTCTTAATGAACTTATTGAAAAAAAGTCAGGTGGTTTTATCTGTGAAATTTAACTTCTCTACTCTACAGAAATTGGGGGAATATTATAAAAATATTGTTTGTTTGTTTTTGTTCATTTTTATTTATTTATTTATTTTTATCATTTTTTCCACTTTCTCTCTTTTTCTTTTACCCTTTTACTCTATTACCCAATAAAATTATTTTTTAAAAATTAACTTCATAGAATTATTGAGTTGGAAGATACCTCATGGACCATCCAGTCCAACCCCCTGACAAGAAGCAGGAAAATTGCATTCAAAGTACCCCCAACAGATGGCCATCCAGCATCTGTTTAAAAGCCTCCAAAGAAGGAGCCTCCACCACACTCTGAGGCAGAGTGTAATGGAGGCTCCTTCTCTATGTAGATAAATTTGCAGATTTGTGACTTAATTTAGCAGGTTGTAAAAATGCTAGAACTAACTAAGTAAAATGCATGCATATTATATGTAATTAATTTGGTACCTCAGTAATTGAGCACTTGCTAAACCACAGCAGAGTGTGTGATTTTGTTTCATTAAAAAGGTATTTTTTTTTTGCCTGAATTGTCAGTAGATGAGCAGTCCCCATGGAGGAGATTTCGCTTAGTGCTGAAGACCACAAGTATTGGACATCTTCTGTGATTTTAGCCCTTCATCTGTATATCTTTCCTCTTGCTTCAGTGAAAGGTGATCCTCAAACAATACATCTGTTTGTAGCAAAATTTCACCTGTAATTTAACCGAATGGGAAAACAGCCATGCATCTGTCATCAACTGACGAAATGAGAACATGTCTGGATTTGGGCAACAGAGGATAAAAAATCCAAATGAGTTAAATGTTGTACTTTATTCCCCAAACCAACTTTAGATCATATCTCTTCAGCTATACACACAATAGTAACACTACAGCCATATTTTAATTTATTTCATTCGACATGCCTCTACATTGTCCTACCACCCATAGAGGATATGCAATGTCAGATAAAACATTAATAATATTCATTGATGTTGGAAGAAGACATATTTTAGATGACTATCTAATGATCTATTATTCATTCATTATCTGGCCCCAATTCATCTAAGCTCACAAGGTGAATGTGCCTAGTTACATCTGGGCTGTTGCAGCTGTGAGAAGCAGCAATGAAAACCAGAACTTGTGAGAAGGACTTGGATGGGCTAAGAATTTTTGATATAGTTTCCTTTCTGTCCACACCCCACCTTCTGTCCCCATTTTCAGGATTTTAGAAACATTATAGGCAGGAATATATGATAGGGCCATATTAAAAATCTGACACACAAAATTTAGGAGTGAGGTGGAAGTGTGCACCAATAAACATCATCTGATACTAAGTTTTCTTGGAATCATTCCAGTAATAGAAAGGGTGCGATCAGGTGAAGGATAACCAGTGAAGACTGGTGATCATGTTTGGAGAAGCTTCAGTGTGAGAGGGAGTAGACGGATTTATATTTTAATGATTTTTGTGTAAACTGCTTTGGCCAAATAGTATAAAATTGATATAAATGTAGATGGCACAGGCCTCTGAATCTCTGCACTAGAGCTCTGTAGGAAAGAATTCTAAACCACAAATTCCAGAATTTCATAGGATGGAGATACAGCAATCAAAGCAGTATCAAGCTTCTACAGCTACAGAATTATACAGCCAGCCCTCCATATGCATGGATTCACTTAATTCATGGATTACACTATCTGTGGCTTGAATTTTTTTTAGAGTCCAAAAAGCAAACCTTAATTTTGCCATCATATAAAGCACATCATTTTTATATGCCAATGTATATAATGGGACTTGAGTATTTTGGTGGGGGGGAGGGGGAGGTGGCATTAGTCGAAATCGCAGCATATCCCAAAGATCAATGTTATGTGTGTCCACTCATTGTCTTCAAGTTTTTCACAGAGTAGGTTAAGGTAAAGGCTTCCCCCTGACATTAAGTCTAGTCATCTCTGACTCTGGGGGTGTGGTGCTCATCTCACTTTCTAAGCCGACAAGCCCGGCATTTTCCATAGGCACCTCCAAGGTCATGTGGCTGGCATGACCTTCCTGCCAAGGCAGTACCTATTGATCTACTCACATTTGCATATTTTCAAACTGCTAGGTTGGCAGAAGCTGGGGCTAACAGCGGGAGCTCACCCTGCTCCCTGGATTCGAATCACCAACCTTGTGATCAGCAAGTTCAGTAGCTCAGAAGTTTAACCTGCTGCACCACCAGGAGGCCCTTACAAAGTAGATTATGTCAGTTTAACTCCTTGGACATATAGGACTGGACACTAATTTGGTCAAAGGACATTACTATATGGGAGCTGCTATGTGTTCCCATTCCATGGGAGAACAGCTATTTACTAGCTTGATGTCAAACGACTGCACTGCTTCTGATATTCAAAAATTGTAATACACTAGTAAAGCAAACCTTTACTTCCCAGTGGTCAGGTTAACTCTGTCTTCACACTATGCCACTTTCCCCCTTTGAGCTAGATAGATAGATAGATAGATAGATAGATAGATAGATAGATAGATAGATAGATAGATAGATAGATAGATAGATAGACATACACACATACATGCAAAGAGCAAGAGGTTGAGAGAGGGGGGGAGAGGGAGAAGGAGACAGACAGACAGACAGGCCGACCATGGCTTGTTCAGGGACCATTGACAGGCTTTGCCTGCTTATAGCCACTGATGGCTTCTTCAATTCCCACAAGCCCTCTCAGCAGGCCCGTAGCCAGGATTTCGATTCGGGGGGGGGGGGGGGGGGTTTTTTTCAGGGGGGGGGGGGGGGGGGGGGGTTGCAGGCCCGTAGCAAGGATTTTGATTCGGAGGTGGGGGGGCTGAGTCTGAGTGAAAGAGGGTCTACCCTAGCAAACCTTTTGTATCGTTACCCCAATACCCCCATGCATATGGGATATATTGAGCATGGTGATCAGATCATGATATGAATAACAGTTTAAATAATTTATTTATTTATCTACTCTACTTGTATACCACAGTTTCTTAGCCCGACAGGCGACTCAACGCGGTTTACAGCATGTACCAGTAAGGCCTTTTCATGAACCACCATGAGAATTTAGGGGGGGGGGGCTGAAGCCCCCCAACCCCCCCCCCCCGGCTACATGCCTGCCCCTCAGGTAAACCCAGGCCCCATTATGGCTTATCAGGCAATGTAGAGGGACCTTCAGGCAAATTATAGATAAGTGTAAATGATAAAATAGATCTATATAGCACTATGAGACTTGAATATATGGCATTAATCTTTTAAAATGTTCAATTCGGTCTTAATCATGTTTACTTTGAATGTCAGTGAGACTTTCACTTGAGTACAATACTCATTCATTACTTCTCTACATGATTCTGACCTTTGATTTCTGTTAATAGAGTTGTCTCCTCTCTTTTTTTTAAGTATTTGTTATGGAAAGCTCCTTTGCAATGAGATGGTACCTATTAAGGACAAAAGCAAGAGAGCACATTAAGAGAGTAAACATTTCCAGAGGCAGCATGGAGAAAGGATGTTAAGCTAAAGAATCTACCCAAAAACCAATGCCAAGGCTCTCTAACACCTGACCTACTAATAAAAAACTCTGTCACAGAGAGTAAATTGAAAATACAGCAACGACACAGTATTTTTCCACCTGGTGTAGGAACAAACTGATAGTAGCATAAACTGCCCTCTTTGTCAAGTATTATACAAAGTAAATTCTAGTTGCCTAGTGGAATAAGTAAAAATGTTATATTTAAAGTGCACAAAATCGTTGAT